CTAATCTACGAATCAATTCTAACGAGAGATAAGTCACTCACCTTGATCGACGATTTGAACCTCAATTGACCTTGGTAGAACTCCGGCGAAGATTTCCGGCGATTAACTGGAAAACTCCGGCGTTCTTCCTGGCTGGTCTGGTTCGGCAGAAGGAGCAGAGAAGAAGGATAGAGGTAGGCGATGGTCAGGTTTTATAAAAAGGATGGATTGGGTTTAGGATTTTGGGAAGTAACGTACGGCTGTTTGTTTACTTATTATTTATTAATATTACTAAATACTTAACATTTATTTATTGAACTCTATTGATTGTTTCGTTCATCACGGTTCACACAAGATTCTAAACTTAACAAACAATATGCCGTTGGTCACCTTTTTCCGATACGTATCCAAAAACCTAATTTTTAACTAAAATGGTCAACTTTACAAATATTTCACATTTTGGAGAAAATAAATATATTTTTTTAAAATTAAAATATCGACTAACTACTGAGTCGGTTTTCAAGGCATTACAAAATAAAAATATGGGAAAAATATTCCTTTTTATTATCATATCCTAGTTCTATATTTTTATTTTCATTTTTATTTATAACAAATTTTTAGAATTTTTTACTATAATATTGGAGACTTGTTTCATGAGAATTCGACAAGTGGACAACACACTTGGCCATTTTTTTGACACGTCAATATGCCATGTAATTCTTAGAATATGTACTTGTAATTACTTTTTGTTGTTACATTTTAATTAGTTATAATTACTCATTTTATGACTTTAGTAAAAAACAATTATGCATTGTAAATTTTATGTCCTAGTTGCCGTATTAAAATTTTATATTCTTCCCATAATTAAAGCTAATTTACGTATATGATGATAGTTTAATTAAAATATAAGTTTTAATTATGATTAAACCTGAGTTTTTCCTTATTTAAAGCTAATTTTACAGGTTAGAAAAATATAAGTTTATATATAATTTCTTGCGTTATGTAATTTTCATAATTTTTACTCGATAATTTTAATAAATCTCACGTTATGTAATTTAAGTAATTTAAACCCGACAATTTAGGAATTCCTTTCTAATATGATTTTAGTTATTCTATAGTTTACTTTTTTAACATTACTAGATACATAACATTTAAAAAATGATATTCTTGACTAACACACCAATATTCAATATGATAATGATTATTATTTTAATAGATAAATAATATTATAGTACAAAGAGAGAAGTAAAAATATAATCTCAAAAGTAAATTTAGTAAATGGTCCTTAATTATAGATGGTTTTTCATATTTTGTCTCCAATTCTAGGATATTACTCCCTCCGTCACCCAGTTTTTGTCCACTTTTGACTTTTGGAACTGTTCATCTAAGCACTTTGATTCATCAAATTCTCTAAATGTGCAAGCCTAAATACAGTCATGTATGATCTTGTTTGATATGTCTTAACATATAGATTATTAATATATAATTTTTATAATTTTTTAATATACAAATTACAAGATAAAATGGATTAAAAAAGTGCATTGGATAGTGTGTAAAAATGAAAGTGGACAAAAACCAGAGGAAGTATATAAATGATCCTCAATTTTTTTAAAACAATTCCATAAATCAGTATTTAAGACAAATAGGACAAAATATTTTTTTCCACATATAGTCCATGAATGACAGATTATGGTACACGGAATAGTTTTTAAATTGTGGATAATTTATGTATTCTTTAGTATTGAGGACTAAATATAGAAACCGTCTGTAATTAGATATCGTGTATGAAGTTATTGTAATTATGCATAATCATATATTTATAGTTTAAAAGGATCAAGACTAAAGTAAGATTAAAACATAAAAAGTATATCAAAATAGAAGTTTCATACTTTTATTTTCAAAATAGAAGTTAAAATATATAATTGCAATGTTAATCATGTCAATGTACAATTATATTAAAAAATGTGAAATGGCCATACATAGTGTCACATTAACATAGTGGAAGCTTCTATTTTGAGATAAAAATATGAATATTTTATTTTGGTACTTTTCATATATTTTACTCCTATTTAAGGTAATTTGTTTAGTTTAAAATATCAAATGACAACAAAATTTTGAATATAACATATAAGAATAGTTTCAATATTTCCTGTGGTTTGAAAAATAGATAGGAATGTCGCATTGCCCCAATTATTTTATAAGCATATACTTGGTCCGTCTCTGAGTATTTGTCCACTTTTGACTTTTGGAACTGTTCATCTAAGCACTTTGACTCATCAAATTCTCTCAATGTGTAAGCCTAAAAATAGTCATGTGTGATCTTGTTTGATTCGTCTTAACATATAGATTATTAATATATAATTTTTATAATTTTTTAATATACAAATTACAAGATAAAATGGATTAAAGAAGTGCATTGGATGGTGTGCAAAAATGAAAGTGGACAAACACTCAGGGACGGAGGGAGTATATAAAATCTCCATCGTTTCAAAAGGTTGCACAAAGTAACTACTATTTAACTGTCATTTTATAGAATTTTTTTTATAAAAGATTATTTAAAAGCACATCTCAATTATAAAGGAGCGCGTTAGTTACTTTTGCTTATTAAGGATTACTTTGGAAAAGTAACTAACGTGCTCCTTTATTATTAAGATGTGTTTTTAGTACACCTTTTAAGTGAAAAGGACTATTTATGGAATAGTTTTTAAAAATTGAAAATTATTTCTAGAATATTTTATAATTAAGAACTAAATATGGAAAACTAGTGGTAATAGAGAAGAATGATGACGCAAAAGTAGATAAGATGCTCACACTTAGGCCCTGTTTCGTTCAACTTATTTTTTCTTATTTTTTTTATTCTTATTAAAATCAGATCAGATCAGATTAGATCACATTAGATCAGACCAGATCAAATCAGATCGAATTAGATCAGATCAGAACAAATCAGATCAGATCAGATCAGACCAGATCCAATCAGATCAGATCCAATCAGATTAGACCAGACCAGATCAGATCAGATCCCATAAAGAATTATTATTACTATTATTACTATTATTGTTATGGTTATTATTATTATTATTCTTAAAAATGAAAAACAGTAAACTTTAGAAACTAGTTAAATAAAAAACTGAGAAATTAATCCTTAATTATTAGACTTCGAAAAAATTATTTTTAAAATACATTGACAATGTCAATCTAATTCTAATTTTAAAATACATGTTTATTGCTACCTGTAATTTAAGTTTCTAAAGTTTTGATATTTTATAAGGATGAGATATTTAAATAAAAATACTATCTCTTCTCTATATTGATTACATATAAATTAAATATTTATTCTAATGTATATATGGACTAATTATTAAAATATTAAATCAATATTCTTATTTCATAAACAATAATCATAAAATAAAAATATTATTACATTAAAATATTATTCTAATATATAAATTAACTAATTTTGTTTTATTAAAAAATAATTATAAAATAAAAAATATTGTTTATATTATAGTATGAATTATCATTACAATTTTCAAACGTTATTATAAACTCAAATCAAATTATTGATTTGAATTTTAAATCAAATCATAATTAATTAGATCAGATCCAATCACTTCAGATCAGATCCGATCAGATCAGACCAGATCAGATCAGATCCAATCAGATCAGAACAGATCAGATCAGATCCAATCAGATCAGACCATAGAACTAGAAAAAATCATATCAGATCAGAAAAAATAAGTTGAACGGAACAGAGCCTTAAACATTGTTTGCCCTCAAGCAACTCACCATCTACTGCACTAGTATGAAAAAGATTGTTCTATTACATTTTAAAATCTTACTTCCTCTCAATAGTCAGTTAATACTATTAGTATTATTTACTTTCCACTTTCCTTTATTTTCTAACAACTAAATAACTCATCACCCTTTTCAAAAAATAGCAATGAAACTCGTTTTAAAATTTGCATGAGTAAATTTATCTTCCAAAATCCCTTAAGATCAGTCATTAATAACGATTTGTAGTCTTTTGGTCTACTTATCTCAATTGAGTAAATTATATTTTTATTTTTCCCGTGAGTTATCCCATAATGCCCTTTTATTACTTATGATATGATTTTTTTAAAAATAATAATAGAAGGGCAGAGCTCCAAATGAGATAGGATACTCAATTCAGAACGCAAACAATTGGCAAAAACTATTTGGGTTGTGGGTTTATCCCATTACATATGCATACTTGCTCCCTCGCCTTATGCGATTCACGGGAGAAGCAAAGCTCCTTTCGGAGATAGGATTCCCAATTCATCACTAAAGCGCAACCCTCGCAATTAGCTTTGTTTATTTATTTTCAATTAAAGAGAGACCAAAAGACTTATAATCATTATGTAATTAACAACCTTAACTTACTCAACTAAAACCCAACTCATGCAAAATCTTTAAAAGAAAAGTCCATTGTTGAGATTTTTGAAAGGAGTGAGTAGTTATTAAAATTATTAGAGAATAAAATAAAATGTAAAGTAAATTAAATACTAAATATATTAATTGATTATTGAAAGAGGAATTAAAAATTTAAAAATGTAATCATACCCGATATCTAACTTTGCCTCCTCACACTTAAGCTGGACCTCGCCCTCGAGGTCCATATGTGGGATGCAAGTAGAAAATCCAGGTAGGACAATCCTCATCACAATTAGTGTGAAGCATATAATGAGAGACAAGATTTTTGTGATCATAAAATGTTGAATTTTTTGGCCAAGATTAGAAATAAAAAGTTATTTTCAATAGAAAATAATTCTATGCATTAAAACAATTTTAGGTACAAAAAGCTAGCGGGGCTCACTGCAATGGCTTCTCTTCATTTTTCCTGCAAAAGAAAAGAAAACAACAAAACAAAGGAAAAAACGACAAGTGCACAGTGTGTGAAAGTGTGAACAAGAACTATTGCTACATTGATAATTATTGTTATTATTGTGAATTTTTTTATTATGATGGGTTTGTTGAATATAAGTGAGCCCAAGAGGCCAACTTATGATTCCATATCTATATTATATCAAGAACAATAGGCCCTAAAAATTGTTTAAGTCATCTCGTGTGATTTAAACATAGCTTTAGTCCATAGAGTAGGCGCTCTAATAACATAGATGAGAACTACGACGTTCTAATTATGAGGCTGTTACAAAGATAGAGGCCACGTCTAATTATGAGAACTACGACGTTCTAATTATGAGAACTACGACGTTCTAATTATGACTTCAACTTGGCCCATGATGTCTAAGAACTTCTTGAAGGCTTTCTCATCTTTGCTCTTCTTTACCCTTGAAGGAAAGGGTATGGTCACCTTCTTTGGCGGGAGATCGCCATTTGGATGTTGGGACTGGAAAGGTTCTTCGTCCTTCTTTTCTTCTGGATTCTTTTCTTCTTCTTTCCTCTTCTCAGTTGGCTCATTGGCTGGTTCAGCCACAGAATCCTTCAGAGTTGGTTCAGAACTCTGGCCAATGCCCTTAGTTTCCCTCCCACTTCGCAAGGTAACAGCCTTGAGGTGTTCTCGTGGGTTGTTTTCAGTTTTGGCCGGCAGAGTTCCTGGAGGTCGGATCGTCATTTGTTCCATAAGTTGTCGTATCGACTCCTCCAATCTCTGGATTCTTTCTTCATTTTTCTTGTCTTTTTCTTCTAGCATTTTCTTCATCTCGGTCGTGGGATCCTTAGCTTGCCTCTGGTGTGGAGGGACATATGCTTGAGTATTCCCCCCTTGGTTGAAGTTAGGCCCTCTCTAATTCCAATTGTTGTTCCAGCCTCCTTGTCTGAATTCGTCCCTCGGACGATTGTTTCTTTGAAAATTGTTGTTGCGCTCTCTTGAAAGATCATCGCGCCAGTGGGCTGGTTGGTACAGGTTCATGGCCCATGGTCCTTCCCCCTTGTTTGCATACTGGGCCAAATTTGCTTCTCTAGGCTTTTCCTTGATCGGGCTTTCATAGTAAGGGCACTGGGCTGTCAAGTGTGCACCTGTACATGATTCACAAGATAGAACAAGTTCGTTTGAGTGCGAACTTGAACTGCCTTGACAGTAGTTATCAGCCTGAGCAACTGACTCGTATGGTTTGTTGGATCGGGAGCTTGCACTGAACTGATCTTGAATAATTTGTTTGATCAAACTTTCCATGCTTGCTGTTAAGGAATCCACTTCGTACATGCCAGCCTTCTGTTGTGGAGCTCGGTCTTCGTACCAATATTTGGCATTTGAAGTTAGTCTCTCCACCAGATCCTCATTTTCTTCCGGTGTCATATCTAAGAAAGAGCCGACCTTAGAAGAGTGGTCGAGTTCTTTCTTTGACGGCACCAGAAGTCCTTGATAAAAATGGAACATTAGGCTATCAGCATCAATTAGGGCAGGTGGACATTTGATCTTCAGATCCTTGAATCTTTCCCATGCCTCGCTCAGGGATTCAATCGAATCTTGAGAGAAATTCTGGATCGATCGTTTGATTTTGGCGATGGCGGATGGTGGGAAGTATTCGTGCATAAAAGCTTGGTGCAGTGCCTCCCAGGTTTTGAAATGACCCTTTGAGAACGTATTCAACCATCGGGCCGCCCTATCTCGAAGTGAGAAAGGAAAGAGCGATAGTTTAATACGATCGGAGGTCACTCCGTTCATCTTCAGCGTCTGACACGTTCAGGAGAACCATAGCATGTGGGCCCTTGGATCTTCCCCCTTCATACCCCCGAACTGATTATTCGAGACCATTTGGATCATGGCAGGTTTGATCTCGAATGTGTGGGCGTCAGTGTTTGGGAGTCCGATGGGGTCTTCTTCGACATAGGCGGGGCTCATGGCTTGGAGCACAGTCCGCCTACGTCCGTTATTTTCCTCCATTATGGGCTGATCAACCTCGATCTCTTCTTCTTCTCCCCCAGAATCCCCTCCGGGTGAATTTTTCAAAGTATTTTGTCGGAGAATTTTCTCAGGATTTTCAGTGAACGGAGCAAAACTACCCCCACTAATTGAGCGGGTTTGCATGTAATTTTGCCAAAGTATGTAAAGATGCTATAAAATCGACCTAACCAATTTTCTACTAGGCTAACTATAAAAATTTGTAACAGAAAAATTAAATTAAGCACCAATCCCCGGCAACGGCGCCATTTGACGAAAGAGTTTTTGCGGTAGTAAATTTCACTCTAAAAGAGATCAATTTATTCCCGTGTCGTATTCACGTGGATTGATGTTAAAATAAATTTTCTATTAAAATCTAGTTATGCAGAGTTTTACTCATTGGTTTTGGAAGCCTTCTAAATTCGAAAAGTATTCGTGGTTTGGAATTAAACTGAGTTGGGCAGAGTAATAAAATAATTGTTTGATAAAAAGGAATATAAATTGATTTCAGGTAGTAGGAATTTTTCAGATAATTTAACTAGTTGGATTATTAAATTAACTAATTAATTTAGCTAGTGAGTAATTCTGTCACAATAACTCCATTAATTTTATCCTATCTCTAGGCATTATTAATGTGCTAGAATTGATTGACTAAATTATTTTTCTCATTCATTGACAAATGGACATAATAATTTTTTCAACATTAATTAATATAATTGGCCAGATTAATTAATTAGAACATTCAACAATTACTAGCAACTTAACATTTCAATTAATTAAATTTAATACTCCAACATAATTATTTTTCCTACATTCCTACTACCCTAATTTCAATTCACATTCCTAATATGTTTAAAAAGACATAGTAATAATAAAAAGTGCAAAAATTGAATAACAAAACATGTTTATAATATTAATTAAAGAACTTACAACTTCCAGAAAAGCGGAATTGGAACAGTACTAGAACTGAAACTCCAAAAATAAACTAAAACTAAAAGTTTTATAGGAAATTTCGCTGCTATGGAGAGAGGAAAACCGAAGAGGAGTTGATGATGGTGAAGGCTGATCGACGCTGCCTTTTATAGGCCTAGAAATCTCCGGGGCGGGGTGTGGGGCGGCCGCCCGGCATATCGCCCTAGAGGGAATATCCGAATATTCCTTCGCAACTTGATGCCACTGCTGATATCACGCGGTTGAACTCCGGGGCTGGGTCCGGGGCAGTCGCCCAGCAGGTCGCCCTGCAGTCGATTGGAATTATCACTGCAAGCGTTCCGCCACTTGCTTATATCTGGCAATTGAATTCCGGGGCTGGGTCCGGGGCGGTCGCCCAGCAGGTTGCCCGGCCCCACCTAGGAATTTGGGCTTCGAATTTCTGTGGCAAGTTCAATATTTTGTGCTGAACATTTTTCTCTTCTGGAGCTATGGACGAAATTGAGTTTAAACATCTCAAATGTTTTATTTTTCTTTCAAGTTTTTACTCCATTTGAACTAGTTTCTGTTTGAAAATTTCAAATTTGTTTTGAACACCCCTTTTTTTTAAACAAAATGACATGTTTGAGATATTTATAAAAGAAAATAAATATTTTTACTTTAATTAAATTTATTTACACACAAAAACGTTTAAATATAAGTAAAATAATAAGTACAAAATGTACTTATCACCTTCCTTCATGGCGCCCTTACAGAGACGGTGTACACGGCCCAACCATCTGGATTTCAGGATCCTGCCCGACCCCACTATGTGTGCAAACTGAACAAGGCGCTCTATGGACTGAAACAAGCACCGCGGTCTTGGTATCAGCGTTTTACTGGCTTTCTTCTCACACTTGGCTTCCTACATTTTTTCTTGGGATCAACGTTCAGCGCACCTCCCGTGGCTTGTTCCTGTCACAGACTCAGTTTCTCTATGATATTCTTGATCGAGCAGGCACGCTCAACTGTAAACCGGTTTCCACTCCGGTTGATACACGCGGGAAACTGTCAGCTTCAGGCGGAACACTTGCGCCAGATCCCTCTCTTTACCGCTCCATTGTGGGGACCCTACAGTACCTCACCTTCACTCGTCCTGACATCACTTATGCCGTGCAGCAGCTCTGTCTCTTCCTACATGATCCACGCACGCCCCATGTCACGGCCATGAAGCGGGTTTTGCGTTACCTTCATGGCACACCATCACATGCATCTCCATCTCCAGATCTCATACAGACCAGATGCGAGCCTATTCTGATGCCGATTGGGCCGGCTGCCCTGACACTCGCCGGTCCACTTCCGGCTACTGCATATTCCTTGGCGATAATCTCATTTCCTGGTCTTCTAAGCGCCAGCTCACCACGTCCAGATCCAGTGCCGAGGCAGAATATCGAGCAGTAGCCAACGCCGTAGCCGAAGTCAGCTGGATACGTAATCTTCTCCTCGAGCTCCAGCAACCACTCAGTCGATCCACTCTTGTTTTTTGCGATAATGTGAGTGCCGTCTACCTAGCTGCAAATCCTGTTAAGCATCAGCGCACGAAGCACATCGAGGTTGACATACACTTCGTTAGAGACCGAGTGGCTCTCGGACAGGTCCGCGTTCTACATGTCCCTTCGTCTCTCCAGTATGCTGCTATCTTCACGAAGGGTCTTCCATCCATCATTTTTTCGGAATTCCGGGATTGCTTGGCCATTCGACGTTCCACACCAGTGCCGTCGGGAGCATGTTAAATATATTAAGTATATATTTAGTATCTTGTGTATATAGTAGTTTTCTTTCATATATAGTCCTTATTAATTAAGGATTCCTAACATAGTAGGTTTCCTATTATAACTAGGAATACTCTACTATATAATATCTCTTGTATTCACACATTATGATTATTGGAATATATCCATTCTTCACTAGGGTCACTTTTTCCATGCTTTTCACCGTCTCCCGTGTTGCTCTTATTGTCTTACTCTTCATGTTTTGGAAGAGTCCCATTTTCAGTTTATCCAGTAGTGATGTCCTCGCCAAAGCCTCTTGAACCTGTCTTTCCACTGCCCTGAAGATTGTTTCGAAGTAGGCCTCGAAGGCTGGTTGAAATAACTGTTGGATCTTCTTTTCTTCTTCTTCAGCTTCCTTAATCTGTTCTGGCCCAACATTTAACCCTTGTTCTGTGAGGCTAGCCATTTGTGAAACCTGTGTAACATCTTGATCCAGAAGATTTGAGGATATGGAAGGGAACCTCAAGTGTCCTTCATCTACCCTCTCCACCCGAAGCATCTGGTCTGTCAAATCTTGTGAGATTGAAGCTTCTGCTCTCCAGGGAGAGTATATTACCTCTGCAGATACAGTCCCTACTAGAGATTTTAAAGCTTCATTCAATGCTTTTACAAACAGCTTAATTCCTTCTGATTTCCTACCTACTGGGATGCAAATAGAAGACAGCTCCCTTTCGGATCCTGCACTGATTCGAACGAAACTTCCAAATTCGTTTGAATCCTAGTGGGACTTTGTAGTTACTCCACCTTCAAATTTTGTAATCACCCATCCCTCTCTAGCCAAAGGTGGGTGGCTTAGGGATTCAGAAAGCCAGAGACCAAAGGAGCGCGATAAAGAAAAGGATCTAGACATACCATTCTTAGATTCGGAAATATTAAGATTGTCTGAGACCTGGAATGTGAATACCTTGCTTTCAACCGAAATTGAGATGCCGTAATCCAGTTTGAAAGGCCCTTGATAATGATATGATCTCTCCCCAAACCCATTTCTGGATCGCCATCTTGCTCTGAAATTCCTTGAATCATCTCTCCACCCCGGCGTTTGAGATCCTCTCGCTTGGAAATTTCAGTTCCGATGGAGCGTTTTCTGGAACCCAATGTCTCTGAAATGTTCGGCGCGGTCTACGGTCTGCCGCCGGTGAATTCTCTCCCCTCTCTCTAGAAACCCCATCCTCTCCATATATATATATATATATATATATATATATATATATATATATATATATATATATATATATATATATATATATATATATATATATATATATATATATGGGATTGACTCCGGTTAGATGACGAGTTTCGGTAAGATGACGGTTCCCATCAGATGACACGCACGCTTCTTACTTCCGTTTCATTTCCCGTTTCCTTCCCCGTTTTCTTTCACGTTTCCATCTTCTTCCCCAATTGTCGCTGATGCTTCTTCTCCATTTTTCATCCGCTCTTCTCTAATTTCATTTTCTTTCTCAAATTCGAATCTGAAATCCCTAGCCGCCTCTACAATTAATCTTCCTAATCACTTTCAAATTCATCGGCTTCTTCACGCGAATTTTATCCGACCTCTGCATTTGATTCCCTGATATGGAAGACATCGAATTGAACTTGTCATTGGATTAGTCAAGGGTATTCCTTCTTCTTCATCTGTTGGACAGCATACTACTTACCAGGTAATTCGTTCTACTCTGTTTTTTTATGGCTTTTTAGGATAAGTTTTTTTGGAGAATTTATCAAAAAGAGCTCTTTTCTTTGTGATGAAAGTAATGGAGAAAGGTATGAAAAAAGTTGTGCCTATGAATTT